AACTTGGAACCCAGGAAAGCTGGATGCAGAGGACACAGCTGTGACACAAGAGAACATGCATTTCCCCAGCTTTCCACCATAACCTTTAAGATCCAAAAACTGGGATTGTAATTCACGGGGACATATATATGTGTGTGGCTCTTTACACTGCACCTGATACACACAACAAATTAATCATCTATGCCATCCTCATTCCTTCAGTGCCTTCACCATCATTACTTTTGTCATTGTATTAGATGAGATTATTTTGCAAAAGATAAAACATGGTTAAGCAGGATGTTTCTAACAGGAATTCCAAGAGGTGAAAAGGGAATGCAACTTTTCAGGCGCTCCCAAGGAGTCTGAGAGGCTCAGCAAGCAACATACTGAAACAAGAGATGAAATGAGGTCCCACCCACATCCAGTCTCATTCATCATAGTTTGTTAACATAATAGAAAATAGACTCCTTTTCCTTGGTGGTTGAGAATGTATTAGGTCAGAAAAAATGGCAAGATGTAAAGCACTTAAACCCTCACACTCTTTCTTTTATCCTGTCAAAATGAAGAAGAAAATACCATTAGGAACAATCCAGAATCTAAGGTCTGTCTCTTCTTATAGTGGGCATTCCTATTGGAAATGGCATTTGCTTGTGCTTCCAGAGGACTCCAATTGAAGTCATTATAGATTTGTTCCAACAATTATTTCACCATCCAAAAGCCAAAGCAATTGTTGCAATGCAGTGAGAGCTGGGAAATACCTTCTTATTTCAGTCTTCCAACTACCTGCATTACATGTTGCAAGTACTGTGAGCCACCCATTCACCTTATTCCCTTACAAATGACAAACAGAGAAAAGTAGCAGTGTTGCAGAGAATTCTTCTGGGAAAAAAAGAGAGGGTTTTGGTACACTATGTGAAGGTCTAAACAAGAGGAGCAAAGGAGCTGAAGAGACAAATGAATTGCTTCATTCAGCAGCACACCTCCTAAGACTTCAGAAAGAAGCCCTAAATACAAGGACCTTGTTCCCATTTACATTTAAACCAGTTTGCAATTTGCCTTTGCTCCGTGTCAGTGAATCAATTCCAAATGGTCCGTTGTTCCCACTATGAAAGTGGATCTTTTCAT